CCCCCCCCCCCCCCCTCAATTGAAGACAAAATTAGCAAATTACACTTTCTTATCGTCTTTAGGGTTTCAAGACACTGTGGTTTTGCGCAGTGGAGAATCTGTAGCTAAAATTTCATGTCATTTGCTTGAGTATTGGATTATTTGCCTTCTCTGTTTCTTCTGAGGCTGCAGATATGGATTCTCATGAGTGATAGACTGATAGTATATTAGTATGTATTGGATAAAATCTGGTATTATTTTTATTGCTGCTTCTGTTAGATCTAGTGTTACTTGGAAGTAATTGTTGGGCATCAAACCCCTCCCACGTCGTATGGAAAAGAGAAATGGAACCAATATTTATATGGTTACTCCAACCCCATAAGAATGAGGCCTTTTGGGAGGTGTCCAAAAACAAATTCGTGAGGGCTTGACCCAGAGCGGACAATATACTAATGCAGGGTTGGGGTGAGAGCAAGCGTGGTCCCAACAGTAATGGGGTTTTTTGTGGAGTTGATCGAACGGACCTAAGAAAACCTCCAAGTTGGAGCTGTTGTGAACAGTTTGATTTCATCAACAGCTCTAAAAGGGCAACAAATAACTGCTCAGCTGAAGTGCTGAACTCCCCATAGACCTTATTAGCTTTATTTGGGATTTTGGGGGTGAGAAACATCAAGTGGCGGGCATGGATGTTTTGTTGATATAATGGTTTAGAATCTAAGGCTGGCAAGAGATTGTGTGTAGCATATGAGAGTATGACGCACTTGGCAGGATTTTTAAAGTTAAGATTTGGTTGTTGTAAATCAATGAGCTTTGGCCGCTCTCCATGGTTGAACTTGTTCTTCAACCATAGATATGTTAGTGGTAAGTTTGGATAGGTGCCTAGCATATCCACCCCCACCCCCGGAAGGCACTAACGCTTTGTTTGGGAACAACATTTTCAATTAGAATTTTGGATAAATTTTTAAAGGTGCATATTAACTTTGAAAATGCTAAAGCGGAACATTGTCGTTAGATAGTCTTTTCAAAATACTGAAGCACTATCCAAACATGCACTAAGTGGTAATAGTCTATTGTTTTCGTTTTGTGTTTATAACTTAGGAATCTCCTAGGTTGCACTTGTAAGTAGGTGCTAAGGGATGCTCTTCTGGCTTTGGACTGCCTAGCGACTTACTTGTTCCATCTCTTAGTCTATGTTTGGAGGGAGAGTAAGTTCAAAGGGTAGGGGTAAATAAGAGAAAGAGATAGGAAGAGTTAGTGAGACTAAATACACAACAACAACAAAGCCTTATCTTACTACATGGGGTCGGCTACATGGATCAAACGACACCAATGCACCCTATCATGTATCATATTTGTAGCGAGATCATTCACGTGAAGCCCCCCCTCCAAGTACTTTGTGCCAAGTCTTTTTGAGTCTACCTCTTCCTCTAGTCACTTTTCTTTTCACCATTTGATCAACCCTTCTCACCGAATGCTCCATTAGTTTTCTCTCCACATGTTTAAACCACCTAAGACGAGCTTCCACCATCTTTTCTACAATAGGTGTCATTTCTACTTTAGCTCTCATATCTTCATCCATTATTCTATCCATATGCGTATGACCATTCATCCATCGAAGCATCTTCATTTCGAGAGCACTAACCTTCGGTCCGTGTTCACCCTTCGTTGTCCAACATAGCTGGTCTTAGTACAGTACGATAAAATTTTCCGTTTAGTTTTAAAGGTACTTTTTTGTCACATGTTAGGCCCGAAGAACTCCGTCATTTTGACCAACTGGATTGAATGTTGTGGTTAACACCATCCTCTATTTCTTCATTCTCTTGAATGATAAACTCAAGTTATTTAAATTTCTTTACTTCTGGTATAGTATTTTCTCCGACTTTCACTTTGATGTTACTATTTTTCTTTCCGTTGCTACACTTGCACTCCATATAATTTGTTTTAGTGCGACTTTTATGCAAGCCATGCAACTCCAAAGCGTGTCACCACAAATCCAAGTTTCTTTGTTCTACACAGTGTTCTTGATTTGGTTTAGGATGTTTAACAGAAGATATTTAAATTTAGATTATTTAAAAATTGGTTTCAAATTAGATAATAAAATTTATATATTTAAGAACTACATTAAAATTTTTACAAAACAAGAGGTGAATTGACTATTTTGTTTTATCAAATGATCAATGAAACTATGAAAGGATGATTTGGCCATGAGAAAGGTGTTTTGGAACAATCATGTGGAACAAGGGGAGTAGTTGTTTGGGAGTTTAAGAAGTGTAAGTATTAACTCTTGTTTGAATTGAGAAAAATTAAAGAGTTTATAAAATTTAATAAATAATACTTCCTCCGTCCCACAAAAAAAGTTCTCATTTTGACCATTAATTGGTCAAACAGTTACACGCTTTGACCATAAATTAAAAATAATCTAAATAAAGAAATGCTAAAAAAATTTGAGATTTCAAAACTAGATCCTAAGATGAATCCAATTATATTAAATTTATTTTATAATTCAATATACCTTTCTCACAATTTGTAGTCAAAGTGTGGAAATGTTTGACTAAATACTATTCAAAATGGGAACTTTTTTGTGGGACGGAGGAAGTAAAAAATTAAATCTACACGAGAATTCTGGAACAAAAAAAAAGAAAGGAAATAAATAAAATGCAAAGAGTAATTAAAAGAACTAAACAAAAAGGGTGATGATATTTGTACAGAGCCAAAGGTGAAGAGCATCCCTCTATTGGTTAACTCTTTCTTACACTCCAAAATTGGAGTATAAAAGTGAAGGGTCAAGAGGGGGTGGTCAGTGGTGTAACTCCTTACTCTCCAAAAAAACACCGGTTTAGGGAGAACTCTTACTCTTACTAACTCCTCTCTACCCCAAGCCCTCAATCCAAATAGAGCCTTAATAAACTTCACATTCCATTGACCAAAGTTATTTAACTCAATTTATTTAAATACAACAGCAACAACCGAGTAGAATCTAGCGACATCAAGGTCCAACGAGGGTCTTTGTATGCAGACCTTACCCCTCCTGAAAGTCGAGAGGTTGATTCCAAGAAATCATTTATGGTATGTTTGGGAACATAGATTTGGATTTCAAATCCGGATTTGGCTCAAATTCCATGTTTGGGAAACTTACAAATTTTGAATTTAGATTTGAATCAAATTCTTCTCATTCATAACAAAGCTTAATTTTAAATCCAAGCACCTCCCTTGTCAATTGAAATTCAAGATTTCAAATTTTGGAATTGAAATACATGAATTGAAATGAAATCCTAGTTGCCAAACACTACCTTAAATAATTGTGTAAAATTTAAAAATTAAATATACATCTTTAAAAACTACATAAAAAAATCTATAAAATAGGTGGTGACAAAACTACTTTATTGTCACGAATGATTAAATTAAATAAGTTAAGAAAGATGATATAGTTTGACTTGTGAATAGTGTCTCATATTTAGGAATGGAGGGACTGAGGGAGTATACAACACTGCTTAATGTGTGTATAGTGAAATGTATACTTTGAATGGCATTCCATGTTTTTTTCCATTACTTGTTTCAAATTTTCACTTCAGTTTTTACAAGGTCATTGGGCATAAATTAAACTCGTCCTTTCCATAATAAGCAAATTTTCAAAATTTCAGCTCTGCGTAGCAAAATGAAGCAAAGGGCACTAAAGGAATGTGATAAATGTGCTGCAAAGTACGCCGAATGTGCAACCGGGAAAACAATATCAGTGGTTTGGAAATGCCGCAAACAGGCCAAAGAATTAAATAATTGCCTCCATCAGTTGTGAGTATGGTTATATTATGTTTTTATTAATCTCATAAACAGGCTGCATTTTAAGTGCCTGTTCTGATGTTCTGATATTCTGTTATTCCCTACTTGGCCTACAATCCTCTGTAGGAGTCTTGTTTGACCAATCCACACCTTTTAAATTTTGGGAAATTACATGAAAAATTTGCTTCGTTTCGTCCAAGTCTACTCTATTTGGGAGGAAGAACTTTTGAAATGTGGCTTTTTTTAAGGGGGGGGGGGACAGAGTGACTAGGCTCAGTATGACTTACAATACATATTTTCTCTATGCAGTACGAACGACACGGTCTTGGAAGAAATGAAGAAAGAGTACACACTTCAGCAGGAAGGGCCAATGCGAGTGTAAGTTTGGGTTCTTGTTTCGCGATCATTGTTACCCTTTTCTTTTTGATGGATTATTACTACTCTTCCCTCGTTGTCTTCTTAAACTCCCACATTGTCAAACATTATTATAACAGTTCTTTGGTCTTGTTTGATCAGAGATAATCTTAAGTTAGAATGTGTTAATGAAGAATGTTTTTGTTTTGTATGTGCCCCGGGCAATTGTTGTTTAAGACAGTGTTTGGAAGAATTGTTGTTTTAAAATAAACGGATTACAAGAATTTGGCAATTCTGTCCTTTTTCTTGTATTTGGCAGAGCTCAAATCATCATACAATAAACAACAATTTTAATGCTAGAGAACTGAAACAACAAAATGCCAAAGTGGCTTTAAAATAAATACAGGAATAAACGTTGAACTTGAAAAAAAGAGTATGAATCAACACATTTTGCCACTTTGGCATTACTTATATCACCTAAATTAAAATAGCAATTTTTAAATAACCAATGGTGGTTTCTTTTCCAATGGGAATATAACAATGGCAATGCTATTATAGGCGGGGCTTAAATTTAAAATTTTCAATGTGGGGCAACGTTATATTTTTCATAATGATCAAATTTTAATTGAACTTTTTTTTTTACAAACACATAACAATAATGTCAAATGCTATAGTGGATCTAAGATTTACCGATCGAATCATTTTAGGTGGATCTTGATATTAGGATGGTAAGTAAATGCTTATTACTATGATAAACACTTAAAATAATGTTTTTTATGTAAGAATGCCTACAAAAAATGGTGTGCACTCACCGAAGAAGCAATCATCAATTATGTACTTTAGTTGATAATAAAAAAGAACATACAAAGTGTAAATAACATCGGGAGTGATGGTGTAAATTACTTGACCGGTCAAACTATACTAGACCGGGTCTAGGATAGTTGGCTTGATTCAATAAAGTAAAGAAAGAAAAAACACTCAGAATGACCGGTAGGACTTTAGGTGGAACACCTGTAGCCCGAATTATATCAAAACAGAGAATGCACGGTCACTTTTACAAGGGAGTTTAGAGAGAGTGAATTCAGATCCCTCTCCCTGAGGTTTACATGAGTATTTATACTAGGCTAAAGGGGGACAAGGCCACGTGCGCCCACGTGGGTGACACGCTGCTGATGTGTGAGGTGACTGCTCTCATCCTCGAGCTGCCCTGTCGCCTTGTGAGGGGAATCACTTCCCTTGTCGTGTTCTGGCTTGGAAATGTTCCCTCAGCATCTCATCAGCGCCAACCACTACAGTCCAAGTCTCTTTTGGATTTCCCCTGCCGACACTCTCCAGCTTCTGGAAACAACACCGGTTGGTTCCTGAAGGTTGAATTAATTGACTTCGGAATTGGTTCTTGATAATGGGGTAATCTGACCGGTATACTATCCGAAGTATACCGGTCAACTTCTTGGTCAATCAATCGTCCATTTGCCAACGATTCAGATTTCCCTTCTGAGTTTGGCCTCTTTGACCGGTCAGCTATCCGGTCCTAACCTTTGACCGGTCTTGGGTGAAATACACCCATCAATAAGCCCTCCACTTCTTGGTTATGCAATTTTGTCATAAACAGGAAGTAAAAAATCTGAAACAGGACCTTAAATTCGAATTTTTGGCTTTTCCCGCTTGAAAAATTCAAAATTCGAATTTCAAACTCTGGATTCTGGCACGTGTCGTACACCAACCGTTGCACTGAGGCGGTGTCAGTCGGCCTGTTCGTATCCCCCATGCGCCATCATTGCGCCGCCTGACGCGGCGCGTCCTTAGGCGGCCACGTCGCTTCCTTCGGATTTCTTCCTCCTATATAAAGAGCTCCACCCCTCTTCATTTCTCACTTATCGCAACCTGAACCTTCAGAGCTTTCACCGGTCAAGTTTCCTTCTCTCGCCTTCCAGCCCTCCGAGTCAAGTAAGCTTTTCTCCCATCTCTTTTTTCTTCCCCGGTTATGTCTCCCCTAAGTAGCGATAAGGTTTCGTCCTCAGAGGACGGCTCCTCTGAGGACTCCTCATCTTTGACCAGGTCTTCTTCTCCTAGCTCTCACACCGGTCAAATTCCTAATTCTTCTGTTCCCAATCCGCAACCCGTTAACCAAATGCCCGGTAATGTTCTTACGGGGAGGGATGAACCGGTCGACGAGGAACCGGGTCCATACGACCTTGAAAACGAAACCCGGGATGCGTGGGAGGAGCGACTTCGCGCTGCCGGTTACTTTCCGCTCCCCACCTTTTATGTCCTTGACATTCCTTCCCATGTATCCAAAATTGCTCTGAATAAGATCCGTAGAAGGCTCCCGGATGGGTATACCCTCTTGTATGAACACGACTGGCCCAACATTGTTGAACCCCACCGGGAGGACAGGATAGGGTTCCATACGATTTCCCTAGACGCGGGCATCGTTTTTCCTCTTCGCCCCCTCCTAACCGAAGTATGCCACGCGTTTAGGATTTTACCTGGCATGATAACTCCTAACGCTCACTGGTATCTCCATTCCTTTGTAAATATTTGCTCCCATCACAAAATTGAGCCCTCCTTGCGTCTCTTTCTTTTTTGTTTTGAGGTCCTACCGGGCGGAACCGGCTGCGAAGGTTTTGTGTACTTCAAAGGTCGGACCGGTAGGAAATTTATCTCTGACGTCTTAATATTGTCTTTTATTTATACAAGTACGTTTAGAATACCCATGGTATCCCATTGGTAAAATTGATGGTTTTTATCCTTTTAACCCACCCCTAAACCTTTCATCCCAATGCTACTCTTGCATCCTTTCTTACCCTATACTCTGACAGTATACTGCAGAGTATGAAGGGGGGTAAAGGGTAAAGATGGGTTACGAATGATGAGTTTAGTAAGTGAGTTAGTAGTAACTACCACCAATTTTATCAATGAAATATTGTAGGTGTTTCAAATAAATATATATACTCCCATTCATTAATTTTTTTTTCTCATTTTCATTTTTGGATTGTTTAAAAATTTCTTTCTCGTTTCCTCATTTGGTAAAAAACTTTTATTGAATATACTATCATACTCATAAGTTTTATCTATATTATTTACTTTATTCTATTACATTTTAATTTTTCTTAATTTTCATACTAACTCAAATTAGGAAAGAAACTTTTGGATAGAGGGAAGTGTATAACCAATTGGTGCATAAATTAAAAATACACAGGATTCAATTGAAAATAACTGGCACCTTATGAGTCTTATCCATAGTAGTTGTTGACTTGTTCGCAACTTACTTGATAGTCCGCCTCTTCCATCTCAATCCAACGGCATGATGTTATCGGCGGTAACACAGCCGGCGGTGAATCGCATTCCTGAATCGCCGGCGCCATTATGTTCTTCTCAGAAACTCTTTCGACAGAACAAACTCGAATTCTTCTCACCTCCGCGAAGGGCTGATTCTCGACCTTCCGTCGTCCTCTCGACAAAGCTCAGAGTCTCCACGCCATCTTCCGCCGCCTCTGTCGATTCCTTATCCGAAGAATCCTCAGCGATTGATTCGCTCTCCCCGGCTCGTCTTCAGAAAGAGGTAAACTATTTCCATAAGGTTTCAGGCTTTCATCAATTTCATCTCTGAACTACAGCAATTCAATTTCTAGATTCGACAAAAAATTGGTTAGGTTCTACCAATTTAGCATTTCTCTAAGGTTCCGTTTGGTATACGAAATTCAAGTCATGGAATTGGAATTGGAGACTTCAATTCCAATTCTAGTGTTTGGTAACACAAAACTATGTGGATTCAGAATTGGTACTGCCAAAAATGAATTAAAATTGGAGAATTCAATTCCATCTAATTCATTTCTATAGAATTCCAGTTTCAATTCTAATACTGCTTATTCCGTGTACCAAACGGACCCTAAGTATAATTGCCCCATTAGTTCAATAAAATTTTGAAAATGTAGAAGCTTGGAGTGGTGGTAAAGCCAATGGAGAAACCTAGGATAGTATTAAAGTTCATATGGATGGAAAAGAACATTGGGATTGCACTTGACCAAGCGATTCCCGGGCATGGCACAGTCCCTTTAAGTCCTTACTATTTTTGGCCAAGGAAAGATGCTTGGGAAGAGCTGAAGGAGTTGTTAGAAAGTAAGCCTTGGATTTCCCAGAAACAGATGATTATCCTTCTTAATCAGGCCACTGATATAATCAATCTGTGGCAACAGAGTGGCACCAATTTGGGCTAACCTTTTCTTTTTTATTCTTCTTTTTATGTGTCACTAGGCTTGATTTAACTTGTATTCGTACCTTGTTCTGCTTCGTGTTTCTTGGGTGATGATGATGATTATTATGTTGGCTCAAAGGTGCTCAACCTGATCTTTTAGTACATTCCTTGTAGATTTTATGTGAATGATGGTTTGTGTTTAAGTACCACAATTGGCTGTAGCTAAGTTGCTTCATATATCCTGAGTTTCAGTCTCATATACATTTCAATACCGAATGCTTGGTCAGCAATCTATAACAATGGTACCTAGAGCGACCCCCTTTAACAAAATAATAAGATTTGAGACTCTTGTTGTTCGAATACATATGTGTGACTATCATCATGGGAAAATGCAGGGATAATATGGCTATAGGATTACACAAGTAGTTTAGAATTTCACTTATTTGGCGGCATTACTTTTTCAGTACTGCATTGTACTTGTTGAGAAGTGTGGGTCTCTTTAATACCCCAAGCCACATACATGATCTTTGTTAAACATGGCTTGACATTTTTCTGTTCATTATACCAAACTCTTGTTTGGTTAGTGGGTGTTTACGCGGAGGGTTGGAAAGCCGAGAAATTGTGTGTGTTTGGTCGTGGGCATCAGGGGGGGGGGGGGNTCCTTCAATGATCTCATATCTCAGTCCTTATTTTGTAGGATTTCGGAGTGATTTTTAATATTTTTCCACCTTTTTAATAAAAAAAAATATTCTTTTTTTAATAGGGAAATTCTTCCTTATTATTGTTACATCGAAAAGCGTCTTTTGACACCCACCTTGAGGTGTCATAATATGACACTAGACCATTTGAGGGTTCTATTGTTCTCTACTCTGCACAGAAATGCTATACTGGCAATGAGGCATTTCAACGTTTTTAGGGGTAGAGGGTTTGTTTGTCTGTGTGTGTTTGTGTGTGTGTGTGGAGGGGGGGGGGAGTGGAGCACCATCATACATTCATACTAGAACAACCAAAACCGGTGTCAAAAGAATCATATCATTGTTATACATATAGACTTTAGGTCATGGACTCCGTATTTTTTATTTTTCGTTAAGGAAAATTCGGGGTAACCCTTAGGTTTGTGCTCTTTTACCAAATGACTCTTTCTTATCTTAGAATTACTTTAAGGCAGCTAAATTGTAATCTTTTTAATGTAATATGTAACCCCTAATTTTGTGGTATTCCTCCAATTGGTTCTCCCTAATGCACACTTCTTAGGATAACCCTGAGAGAGACTTAATAACTCATTTTGTTCTCTTAGGCAGCCGACATGCCTACAGTCGATAATGAATCCATTTGACGGGCTCATGACATAAACGTCACATGTTGTTAGAGGTCAGATGCTTGTTCAAGTCAATTGGAATGTCTTAGACCTATATCAAGGTTTCTTTAAGAAGGGTGCTACACTGATAAAGAGTGACCGGTCATTCGTACACGAGTAATGCTTTATACCACAATTAACAACCAACACAAAAAATTCTTTGTTAAATTTTAATGTATACTCCCATTGGGGATCTCTTGTGCATGTTTCCGTCTACCTCATTTCAACTCACTCTGGCTCAATTTTGCACTTCAATCACTCCTACATCTTGTTTTCCTTTGAGTCATTTTAGGAATGCACTTTTCCATGAAACAATTTGTAAACAATGCTATACAAATAGAGCTTCTTCCTTGCTTGAGTGATAGGAAGCTCTCTCCTCAAAATTCATAGGGGAAGTTCACTCAGGCATTGGTTCACATTGCGTAATTAGGTTAAGAAAGTATTAACTTATACTACATTATAATCAAACCAATATCATGAAAACAATGGTATACAAATATAGTTCAAGAAGCAGAATTAAAATTGTAGTTATTGTGTCACTACTGTTTTTCACTTGTATAAAAAATGTCTTCAAATCAAAGCACATCACCATATAAGTGTCCAAGTTGTTTAGCAGTGAAGGAAAACATATTTGTGCTTTTCAATCTCAACTCTGACATCTTCGAACACTCCAACTCAATACTGTCTACAAATCTTTTGTCTCGAGTTGTTAGAACACTTTCATGTATTATCATCTAAAACATCTTGTAATTTTCACTTCTCAATCTAATTTTTGTTTGGAAGGAACATCCTTGATGATGAATCATTACCTCTCCTTGTAGTTTGAAACATGAATCTGTATCCAATCTACCTCACTCTCAATTGATTGGGTCTGAGGGTCCTTTGGGGATGGGGTTCATCCGTTTTTTGAAATGTGAATATATTTGGAATCCCAATGCCGCTTTGTACATTCTCAAATTATTTAATACCAAATATTTAATTAAATTTTATTGCTATGAGTGAACGTAGGCAATAAAAATTCAAAATGAGTAAACTATGTTAACATAGACGTTAAGACTATGTTTGGTTCAAATAATTTAAAAGAGAAAAAAAAAGAAAACACGATAGAAAAGGCAAAATGTATTATGAGGAGGAAAAAGTGATAAACAAATTTCCTTCCATTTTGCTAAGAAAATGGAGAGAAAACTGTTTAGTTTTCTTTTTCTTTCAATTTTCTTAAACCAAACCAAGTGTAAAATGAGTAAACTAAGGCATTAAATTTAATAAAGGAAAAGTATATATTGACACCACTCTAATTAGTGTTAAATTGAATAAAGGAAATGTTTAAGACTTTTGGTAAATAAGACTGATTTTTATTACAGTAACGTATTAGTCTTATTTTTTAGTTTATTTAGTTAAGATGTGTTTCATTCATAGTATTTTCTCTAAATTTTTTTCGATTATAAAAAAATAAAAACGTCAACTTTTATCAGATATACCAGACCCAATAACGAGACCTAGTGGGTCCAAATCTAGGGGACTAGTGGGTAAACGAGTACGGGTCAGGATCAAATTTTTTTAAAAAAGATATGGGTATATAACACAATGAATCGGTCCGAACCCGACCTATTGACAGACCTACCTACTCTACCCCTGACCTCCTTCCTTTAATCACCATTAGGTTGATTTAAATTTGCCAAATGGTGATTGAGTTTCAAGGGAAAGAGGGCAAAGTTTAGAGGGTGGCTTGGTTAGGAGGGTAGGAACTATCATTTTGCGATCGAAGCATTGTAGGTCAATTGAGCTGAAGTTAGAGAGTGTGTATAAGTGAGTGGTGTCAAATTAGACCTCATCTTCATTGTATACGTAGTATACACACATAATATATTAACGGCACGATTCATGTGACATTGACTTTTAATGTCATACCATGACCCAATCCTCCTACGTTGTTTTGATCAAAAGAATGACAGTTCATACTTCTCTTAACCCCTCCCGACTATCTCCCCTGCTTCAATCGGCGAAAAGGAAAAGGTGAGTGTGCCGGGAGTTGGGGGTACGAGGATATCGGAGGTTTGAGAGAGGATAAAAACCATTACTTTTTCAAACAAAATTCAATGTCATTTGAACTATACCCTTAACTTAAATAGTTTGATGTTTTTACTTGATAAAAAGTCTCAACTATTACGTTCTCAACTGTTTAAAATTACTCCAACCCGTAATTATACCATTTGTGTTTACTGGAGTCATGAGACCTGGATTTGATTAATCAAGTACGGGTCGGGTTCAATCGGAGTTTTTCCCGATGGAGAAAAAGCCGAAGGCAAGGAAAGCGACGCCGGCGAGCGAAAGCGGCTTGGAATCCGACGGGAGTATCTGGGGATGGGCCGTGTGGAAGAGCACCGACGCTTCATTTCTCTGCATCGGTCTCTTTTCTCTCTTAGTAAGACTCGGTGTGTCCCTACATTCATATTCCGGCGCCGGAACTCCGCCGATGTACGGAGACTACGAGGCCCAGCGGCACTGGATGGAGATCACAGTCAATCTCCCAGTAAGAGAATGGTATCGAAACAGCACATTGAATGATATGAAGTACTGGGGTCTCGATTACCCTCCTCTCACTGCATATCAGAGCTATTTTCATGGAGTTTTCCTCAAGGTCTTCGATCCGCAGTCAGTTTCCCTCTTCAATTCTCGGGGATACGAGTCTTACATCGGGTACTTGCATAATTATTCCGGATAGTTACTTTCTTCAAATTATTTAGTTGCAATTGATCCGTTCTTGATTAGATTATTATTATTTCTAAATCACAGGAAACTCTTGATGCGTTGGACGGTTGTATCATCTGATGCTCTGATATTCTTCCCGGCAGTTTTTTATTTTATGAAGGTGTACTATTCTAGCAAACTTGTTCAACAGAAAAGCCATTCAGTGTGGCACATTGCAATGGTTTTGCTGAACCCGTGTCTAATTTTGATCGATCATGGTCACTTTCAGGTATGTTATATCATTTATGTTTAAAATTGTCTGCGGCCCAAATTTCGGTAGCGTGTTTGGTTCAAACATGTAATCAGAATTGGATGCATGGTAAAAAGTTGTATCAACATTCAAATTAAAATCTCTAAAGCAAAAGGGAAATACATATGGGTGATTCGTGAAGAGAGTCTGAGACAATTTGCTAATGCAATTTGTAAGAATTGCATTTGTAAGAATGCGAATAAATCAGAATATAAAAAATGAATAAAGAAAGAGAAAAAAGAAGGACAGATATATTTGTGACTGTATTTCTCTCGCTGTTTTTAAAACTAAAATGGTTGATTGTATTCCTATTGTGTGTATTGACAGTACAATTGCATTAGTCTGGGCCTTGCCGTGGCTGCTGTTTCTGCAATATTATCTGATAGGGATCTTGTTGGTTCAATGTTGTTCACTCTCGCTCTCAATCACAAACAGGTGTTAGAATATTCCCCTGTTTTCCAAAAATATCATAGCATTCTGGTATTTTGATATGTTTGTGATCCAAACCTTCAGATTTCAGAATACCAAGTTGTTTGAACTTTCTGTCATAGCAATATAAAGTTTGCTATATTATTTTTTGAACTTCTGCAGATGAGTGCCTATTTTGCACCTGCATTTTTCAGTTACCTCTTTGGTAAATGTCTAAGGCACAGAAATCCCCTTCTTGAAATCTCAAAGCTGGGCTTAGTGGTATTGGGTACCATGACTATGATTTGGTGGCCATATCTCTATTCAAAAGAATCATTATTGGAGGTATGGATATATGGTTATATGGTCATACCCTTGTCTAGGGTTCTCTTCTCTTCACTTGTTCAATTTGTCTGTCTATGATTCAAAAATGAAATTTGACCTTTGCTCTTGCATTCTTCCATACTGCTTATTGATCTCTTTTATTTCCTTGGAATGTGATGGTCATTCTTGTCATTTGTCAGTAAAAGTTTTATCATTGGGGTCAGTGCCATTAAATTTAATGCCACATAGCTTTGTAAAACTAGTTAAGGATATAGATTTATGCAAGTTAAAGCATAGTGGAAAGCTTTTGTGTTAGATGCATTTCTGTCACCACCTTCTATAAAAGGAATAAATAATAAGATGAGAATTCTAAAATTTAAATCATCATCATCATTGGCTGTGTCCCCTAACATGTTTAACATTTTGTAACAACGATGACTTTAGATAGTCATGTCCCATTACAAAATTAGAAATGGACATAGTTATGAGTGCATTGTTTACATGTGGGTGTTTTTTTTCTATGGCCCTCTTGGAGTAGAGATCTTGCTCCCCCCACATCCTACTCTTGAGCAGGAAGTGGGATATACTGGGTTTGTCTGGTGTCGTATGGTTGTAGTCTAAGCCATTATACTCAATGGGTCTTTCATTGTTGTGACTGAGAATAGATTATATTTTGCAGATTAGCTTCTTTCTAGAAAAATAATCCTATAATAATTTCAACCAAACTTTCATAATTGTCAACTGATTTATCCTTATTTCTGTTACAGGTTTTGGCACGCCTAGCTCCATTTGAGAGGGGCATATATGAGGATTACGTGGCTAATTTTTGGTGCACATCTTCCGTTCTTGTGAAATGGAAGAGATTGTTGAGCTCCCAATCTTTGAGGCTTCTCAGTCTTGCTGCAACAGTTTCTTCTTCTATCCCTTCAATGGTGATGCTAATATTGGCACCAAGCAAACAAAATTTCTTGTATGGGCTGCTCAGTAGCTCTTTATCATTTTACTTGTTCTCATTCCAAGGTAAGTACCAAAGTGTGCTTCTCCCTCTCTCTTTACTTCTCAGTTCTCACGTGTGCTTACCAAGGTATTAAAATCTGATTTAGGTACTGATTCACTCATTGAATTAGACTGGACCGGTGGTGAACAGTTTTTTATATGATACTCCCTTTGTTTTCACACTCATGTGCACTAAAAATTATTTCCCTCACATGTGCACTTGGTGTTATGGCCGTGTGCATCCCGTATTTTCTAGATTATTTTGTTTATTTACCAAAATGCCATTGCATATTCTTAAAAAAAGCATCTACACCATTAATGGAGGATCTTAATTTACTCTCACGTCTTCCCTAAAATAGTGTCTTCGATGCCATTGCTCTATTTATCCTTCGTGTGTGTGTATGCACGTATGTGTATATAGATACACCGTGGCACACCCAGGTAAGACAAAAAAGAAATTATTTTAGTTTCAATTAAAATTTAAGAATAGAAAAAACCCGTTCTCCAACTGATTTTTCATCTATAAGCAAATTATAAAATGTTCATCATGAAATTCATTTATTTTAAAGTCTTTAGATGCTAGACCAGACAAAAGTCTTTAGATGCTAGCTCAATGGAGGCTTTGATGCAAACAAATGTTTTGGGCTAAGCAACATCAAAGATATTTTGTGGGAATCTCTTGGAAATAGCCTCCCTACTTTCGAGTAGGGGCGAGGTCTGCGTACACACACTCTCCCCAGACCCTACTTTTGTGGGACCCAACTGGGCTGGTTTTCTTGTTGTTGAAACTGGTTCCCTAGCGGTTCTTTACTGGGCTGCTTGCCCAGACCGGATTCGTGAGCGGTCCCGGTTTAGCTGGTTAAAATACCTTGGTGCTTACTCATACCGTGGTGCTACTATACTTTATCATGATATTTTCTATTGTGGTTTATTTGACAGTGCATGAGAAATCTATTCTCTTGCCTCTTCTTCCTGCAAGCCTCTTGGCCTCAGAAGAGCCTTTTATCTTCCATTGGTTCGCGGTTTTTGGCCTGCTCTCTATGTTCCCACTTCTAAGACGCGACAAGTTGATTCTGCCATATGCTGCGCTCTATGGTCTTTTCCTCACTCTTTACAATGCCTCAAGTGGAAAATTGCATAGGAAGGAAGGAAGCATTTTCTTCATCACCTTAAAGTCACTTCTTTTCGCCTCATCTCTTATCCTTCATGTTGTCTACTTAACGGTAAATCCTCCAAACCGCTATCCTTTTTTATTTGAAGCTTTGATTATGCTTCTTTGTTTTTCTCAGTTCTTATTTATTTATGCCTACTCCAATACAAGACAGTATATGTTATTGAAACTTACTGGCCGGGTAGAGAAAGCGAAGAAAAATCTATGATCTTGATAGGGCTATTTGTATTTATTGACACTATAAGTTGTATTTGGAGAATTGATCAATAAGATGTACAATATAAAATAGCAATTCTGCCTTCACCAAACACATACTATATCTTCTAATTGATAAAATAAGTACTCCGTAATTCATTTATTTATAGTTAATACTTCTTTCCAAAATTATCTTAACAATCAAAAACTCATATTCTGCACGCCTTATCATTTCACTATCTTGTAGATTCGTCTCGTTAAGAATTGTCACATTAATCATTTCTATGAATTTTATTAAAACGTAATTTAATATGTTTAGAATTGGATCTGTACACGGGCAAAAGTCAAAGGTTAGTATTGCTTTTATTGTGTTACAAATGAAGTGTATATATCATAGTTGTCGAGGCATCGCCTAGGCGTCGTGGCGGTCAGCTCCTCTTGCCATGGTGTTTCACCTCGCCTTTTGCCCTTATTTTGCATCCCTCGCCTAGGCCTCGCCTTTTGAAAATCCTTTATGCCTTTTAGTGTGAGACGTTTTTCATACTCAGTTTTTACTTTGCACTATGAAGTTGCATATTGATCATATTTCATATTCTTCTTTTTTTCTCCATATTATGGTGTGTTTATATTTTTTTAAAAGTATGTGTATATGAAATTCTGATTAGCTATAGAGAACACGTATGTTCATATTTATACCAGTGTTACTGATGTTACCAATTCTGATTTCATCATGGTGGTACACTGGTGCCTTGCCTTGGAGCCATGACAACTCTCGTGTGTGTGTGTGTGTGTGTGAATTGTAATTTTACACCAACACATATGACACCAGTTAAATTGAGGCACCAATGGTGCTTTGTTTGTAAAATTGAGGGTTTCTACCTCTCAGTAAACCCCCCTTAAGGCCACCCCTGTTCTTCACCCAACACCTCATGCCCCGAGTTGTCACTAATTCAATTGGGGCACCTATAATACTTAGTTCATAAAATTGATGGTTTCTTTACTTTAATCCCATCTAAACCCCATCCCAGCACCCCACCCT